TATATATTTCCTTTCACTAAACATAATGCTGATAAGCATTTCCAAAAAGTTGAAGTTTCATTTCATCTGACCTTAAGACAGGCTCTAATTGTCATTCAGATGCAGACTGATAAATTGAAGCTGCCATCTTCTTGTGTTTTGCCCTCAGTAGAGGCTTCTTCCTTGTAATCCAGCCATAAAAAGCCATATTCATGCAGTCAACGTCAAACAGGAAATTCTCCCACTTCATATTCTTAGGATGTCAATTCACATTGGAGATCTCTGACTTGCTTTCGTTTTTTTTTGTCTGCCTTCCAAACTGCCTCTCACAGCCCATGAGAACAAAATCTACTTCCACTCTCTTTCTGGCAGGGTGCCATGATACCAGTTGCCTTAATTTAAAAAAAAAACAGACAGTACAGTAGGATTTTTCTATTGTTATCCTGAAGCTTGTGGACGTCAATTGCAAGCATTCTTCAAAGAGCTCTCTAACGTCAACCATAATGATGTTACTGTACTTCCTTTTCTACCACAGGGAAACAACAAACTCCAGAGACTTCTGGAAGAGCAAAGAACAGAATATTATTGTACATTCGTTGGACTTTATATTATATATTTAATATTTAGAGGTTTGAATAATTGCTACAGTTGTATTTCCTGAAATTCATTTATTTATGATAAAAGTCTTTCTTCTGTGTAATGCTTTTACAATTAGACTTTTTATAAACATTTCATAGTTATTTTAAGCAAGGGTATAATCAAATCTGAATCTGTAACTTCTATAACGGTGTCTGTTATGAGGTGATGCTGTTTTGGGAGTATGAACATAGCTGTAGGGTCTTTAATTTCTCCTTATACAGAAGTTAAAAAATCAACTCTGCCATTAAGCTGCTCTAAGAACATTGTAAGGTATGCGCTACAGAAAGTTTAAATTGTTTTTATCTGTTTAGCTATTACCTGATGTATCAGCTTCTACATTTTGAATTTTGCACATGTTGGATTCTGGGTTAAAATGCAAATGCTTATATTATTGCAACAGAGCTCGCTGTATCACTTGCAAGTACACATCTAACACCACACTCATTCAAGGCCCCTCAGGACAATTCCGGATCACCCAGATGGCATCTTGTACCTCCAGCAACCTTATTTACTGTATCTCTTGCAGTAAATGCCCAGCCACGTACATTGGAGAAACAGGAAGGAGACTCAGAGACCGATACAGAGAACATGATAGGGCTGTGAAGATTAAAGATCTCTCCAAGCCCATTGTTTCTCATTTCACCTCTGACGGCCATGACCACTCTAATCTCTCCGTCTGTGTTCTCAAAGATGGTTTTCCAAACTCATACATCAGAAAGACCACTGAAACCAAAATTATCCTGCAGCTAGGATCACACCTTCCCCCTTCTCTTAAGGACAGACTACTTTTCTACTAAATTTTCTCCATTCATTGGAGGTTTCATTTCACACTTCTCTTCACCTATCCTGACACACCTCTTGATTGGCCTCTCTTTCTGTCCCCTGCTCCCACCCCTTGCTCCTCCTCTCTCACAGCTTTTGTTCTCCTGCTACATTAACTTTGCTTACTGCCCTGTCTTTCTCACACCTGAAGAAGGCTCCATGGCCGAAACGTTGTGTTTTCTTCTCTTTTCAGCATGGAATAAACCTATTACTATATCCTTATATTATGCATGCAAGAGCAAATGTGATGCCACATATTTTACTGAGGTCTCTCAGAGGTGATGAGAATTGAATGTGCTTTTTTTTGCAGCCAGAACACCTTTAAAACATAATCCACTTTATTCTTACAAACAAAACTTTTGAATTAAATCAAACAGAAAAATTAAGACTTGCTTCTGAACTGTAAGCCCATAGATTTCTAAAGACCTTGCAAAACACTAAACAGTCACAGCAGTATGAGTTTTTCTTCACAGGAACTTCAAGTGAGTAATGTAGCTGCTATAGTAATACTGTAGCTTGACAGTTAGTCTTTAGTTTTTGTGTCATCATGTATGCAAACCTTTTCCCATGCTGACACTCATTATAGCTGGGGAACACAGAGGCGGTACTCAGTCTCGCTGAATCTCAAGAGTTTTTCTTAATTCAATTAAGATTTCAATTTTAAAAACATTTGGAAAAGAAAGCATTTCCAAAGACATTTTTTTTTCTTTGAAACCAGCCTGGCACTGTGCTCGGCAGGGCAATATTAACGTTCTAAAAGGGAAAGAGACCAATCTGAAAAAAATGCACTAACGCAGTCTACTGATTTCAGGATGCGTGTTTAATTTGTAAGGTGATGCAATTTTAATTTTGGGGTTAATTCAACTCTGATAGTGAAAAATCAACATTACCTCATCAGGACGTTTTCCATGAGAATGTTAGTGGGATTTCTAACATTATCATATGGGGTTTCTATTATCTGCATCCCCTTGTAACACAGCATTTAACAGACAGCTTTGGCTAACCAAGACAAATTTCCTTGCCAGTCCTTGTAAGTGGCTCTAAATGTCTCTTTCTTTGCTAAAATACCCACAAAATGAATAACGAGCTCTCATTTTTACCACCAACAGGAAAGGGGTGGAATATTTTATGGCCGTTCCCCAGGCCCTATTTCTTGAGGCGTGTTAGGTTACCCCTCTTAATTGTAAATTAATTATGGTGAAAAACAGAACTGACCTGGGTAACATTTTAATGAAGTGGAAAGGACAACTTGCCATATGAGCAGTAAAATGTCACAAATTGAATTGCAAAATTACATGTTACGTGGAAAAGGGAAATCAGATTTGAACATGATATGAAAAAAAACAACTCATATCTCTGCATACATACCCAGAGGGATATAAAACATTCATGCATACCTGGCAGAAAAAATGAATTTTGTCGCCGAGCAGAAACAAATGCCTGTATATTCTAGGTACACTAATGTATTACAATACAGAGATAATTGTATACTTATATTACCTTCAGTCCAATTCCATAGAGCTGACTGAAGGATGCCCTAAGCTTTTACAGTTCATATACAGTACAATTACAGAGACCCTTCTGGGTGAAGTTTGCACGTTTCTCCCACACATTGCTGTTCTTTCTGGGTGCTCCAGTTTATTCCCCACCTTAAAACAACATGTGGGTTCGACGGATTCGCTTCTCTTTTATGTGTGTGCGCAATAATGGAATGGCATCCTGTTCACTGTGAGTTTCCGCCTTGTGCCCTGTGCTTCTGGAATAGGCTCCAGGGAAAATGTGCCAATTACTAGGAATAAGTAGATTTCAGATAATGGATAAACTCCAACAGCTAATTCCAAGATAGGGGGTTTCATATTTGTTCCAAGTGTTGCTGTCTTGCTGACAATGTAAATGCAAAAACAAAGTTTTAGAAGGAAAAGAAATAGGAGTAAGAAAATAATAGAAAAAACATTGAATGGTATCCTACACCAATTAACACTGAGTTTCTAACCAAGACTCAAACCTTAGAGTATCTGTTGTACTGTTAAATTACATATAGTTGAGACCATATGTGTTACAAGCAATGAAGCAGTACACAAAAAAGCCAGTTTTGTATGCCATCTGCGCTGTATTCACAGACCACATGCCGAGAACCACTGGTGAAATATAGGCCTATCAGGAAAAACATTTTGTCCCAAAATACCTCACTAGTGCATGCAAACACAACAATCTTAGCAGAATGAGAAACATTTTAACATTAACTCTCCTGCATATCCGCAAAGAAAGCCATTATCTCCTCCTACACTCCATGCACACAACATTTATCTCTCAAATATGCTGGAAAACATTATATACTGAGGCCTTTCAGGGATTTTATTTTTGCATGTTAAAACGGCTGCTTCAAGGTCGGTTTTAAAAACTTTTTGCAGCGCTGCACTACAAAGATCAGCTACTGGAATAAGCACCCTTAATCTCTGAATATTACACTAGAAGAAATGTGTATTAGTTTGAAAGACAAGAAAGAAGAAAATGACTTGTTCATACCTGACTGCTTCTGTAATATAAAATCCAATTTGGAAAAAGTAAAGATAAGGGGCCGGCTGCAGAAGTCCCATCAGCTTAGCAAACACTAAATAATGAACAATACTGAAGCTGTCCTATGTGATAAAACACTCCATTAATGGCACTGGTTAAATTAATGATAATTATGCCACGTTTTCAGTTGAGAGTTATTGAATTTTTATCTGGTTTAAGAGCAGTCTTGTACAGACATTTGAAAAAATAATAATAAAAGGTCATTTATAGCATAAGCAAACTTTGGAATGTTTCCTGTGAAAGTTCCATAGATAAAGACTTTGAGGTCTCCAGCATGGATGACAAAGAAGCTCTTTTCAAATGACAGTCCAAACAGTCGTCTCACTACAATGCCTTTCTAACAAATGTGTTTCCATTATGCCTTCCAATAAGGCAGAGGCCTACGCATGTCGTTTTTCATTTTGTTTCCTGTTATAAAATTACATTACAAAAAGCATGAACAAAGTAGCTAATGTGGCAGGAGAAAGGAATCCAATTAAAAACTCTAGCAAAGATTTGTGTTGATGATTTTCTCTATTAGCAAAACGGATAAAGAGAAAACTGAGCAGCCACAGTAGATCTACTGTACATCTTTAGTGAGCTTTAACAGTAGACCAATACATTTTAATAATTCTATTCCCTTTCTCTTTCTACAGCCTGGGTACCATTTAACCTAATTGGAAGAACTTGGCGAACAGTGCAGGGCAAAAATGTCTTGCTGAAAAGAAGCTACATCTCAGTCAGATACGAAAGTAAGAATATTTTGGAGGAAATAGTGGCAGATTTTCTTTGGTGAAAAGTGGACAGCAATTCAGATAACTCATCAGCAGGTAAGACAGATAAATCATATCCATGAGAAGTATCATTTGTCATGTCCAGAGAAGAAATCATATCCATGAGAGGTATCACTTCACACTGACATTTCTACAACTGTGAAAATGGTGTTTCTTAAGGGTTTTAATTTAATAGGAATTTCTAATTTTTTTAAAAGTTAGAGTACTTACTCTGTGTTGTTGGTAGGCTGGAGAAAAAGCCCTTAAGCCTCCCTGCTAGCCACTCAAGACTCTCATGGAGGTTTGCCAGGGCTTTCAGATCACTGACATCACGTAGAATTTCATTCTGAGGGATCAGCTTGTCTCCTAGGTTACCAGTGAGCACCTCTGACTCTTTAGCAAAGGCAGCCCTGGAAGGATACAATAAAATCACAAAGGTTTATATTTTTATATTTGGACTTACAAAGCAATAGCACCTGCCTTGAAAAGACCTAGGCACTTGAACACAAAAAATGGCTAACATTAGCAGCCTGTCTTTGATTTCTGCTTCTGTGAGGAGTGGTAAAGTACACACACATCAACAACAAATTTCCATTCAAGAGTTGTGAACTGATAAGTGCCAGTTTTGTAAAAGCTCCAGACACAAACAAAATGACTTCAGTTCTTTACGCTGGTATTGAATCGTAAGAAGGGGACAAATGCTTGAGAAGCTTGAGAAACATCCCAATATCCCCCAAACCAAAATGCATTTGGTCCCTCTGTTTCTACAGCAGTTCATCAACTCTGGGAAAAGAAAAACAAAGCACGTATCGGTAAGGAGACCACCTCCTGCAATGTGAGAGCGTGGAAAGAGCAACAAAGGGCCCCAGGTGATGAAATTCAGGATTTCTGTGGATGAAGACATTCTGGCACCCGCATGTTTAAATAAAGGTTGAAAAGCGGCCAAGTGTCCGCATCAATACCAACCGGCATCTCAATGAGGCCTCCCCCATGCCCTTGACACAGGCTTCACATTCATTTCATGCCACTCTCTCCGTTACCTCTGGGAAAATTAGTTCCAATTATCCTGTAAGCAAACTATGAATATGAAAAGGGCTGCAGGGGAGAGAGCCAGGGCAGCGGGGCAGGACAGAGAGCCTGTCAACACAGAGAGCCTGTCCCCCCTGGGGAGTCGGTGACCATTTCCAGTCAGGTGCTCTGGGCATACTGAGAAGAAGACTTCATTTCTCCACACCGCCGGGCACTGCTGGGAGCAGAGTGGTACAACGGGCTCTCAAGCCACTCGTCTTGTTTTCACTGCCAGTGAGTCGTGCAGAAAAATAAATTAAACTGAGGTCTTCGTGTCAGCGCTTAGCTCTACCCCCCCTTCTTATCACGGTACATTGTACTGCAAAAGTACAAATATGGCTAAAAAAATAACAAGCACCCGGTTCTAACAACCAATGGTGCTGATATTACGGCTCACAATGCGAGTTGCTGCACATCAACACCACCTGTATTTTTAATCTGTACATTGGTTCAACAGTAAACAGTGACTAATGTGATGTGGCCCGTGGTAGACAACCCTATTTTAATATTTCCCTTTTGTAAAAACAAACAGCTGTCAAACTGCAATTCCTTCCATTGTGCCAGCTACTCATTCAGTATACAGCTTCTCCAAAGAATTGTATATTTAAAAGAAGCCTGTTCAGTAGAGTATGGATCCACAACACAATGAAAATCTGTATGAGACTTTATTAAGTTTCCTGCAGTTCCTTACACAAAATACTCATCCTTTCAGAGATTAATTCCGGACCAGCCAAAATTAATCAATTATGGACTGAACTCAGTACTAAACAGGCTAGACTGTAACCATTCTCATGTTCTTATCATTACATGTTTCCTTGGAGTCAAGGTAGCTAAGTTACCATTCTCTCTTCCTCTCACTTTTTTGATGCTGTCTGCTTACAGAGATTCTAGAGAGTCAGCTACTCACGCTTCTCTTAAGACAGACAGCAGTCCTCTGAAAGAATTGAAAACCTTCCTACAAAAGATTTCCCAATATCTTGGAAGATGAAATGCCAGTGGAATGTGGATTTTTACTGGAAACAGTTTATAAACCAAGTGAAACATCCTTTAAAACACAAGGATGAAAAAAATGTGTTCCAAAATAAAATAAAAGCTACTTACACAACCATGTACTGTATAGTACTTTTTCTGCAGAAGCAGCAGTTGTACGAACTGTACTGTCGCTGGTCCCCTACTGTACTTCCTTTGCCTTCCTGCAAATTGTTCTCATCAGCTTCCATAACGACTGCATTACTATGGTAGAAGAAGGCTCCACAGCCGAAACGTTGCGTTTTCTTACTTCTTTTTTTCAGCATGGAATAAACCTATTACTTGTTCCTTTGCAGTCTACGCATTCTGACGCAGCTACCCACTTGAATTACTATGGTAGATGCTTACTGTCCCTCTAGCAGCTTCTAATGATTGTAAAGTGGTGTGCACCTGAGCTATCCACATACTTTTGTGGTTCATTAAAAAAAAAAAAGATTTGTTACTGTTCCACTCAAGTGAACTCCTGATTATAATTTCTATAAGACAACGGTTTATTGCTAGCTTACCTTTTGTAGGAGTGTATAAGATTTACTGGTGTATGCATGATTTCAACTTTCATATGTATCGTAAGTAAAAACATAATGAGAGGAGCTCAAATGCTCCATCTAGCTTATTGGGTTGCTAGTAGCTAAGTTAAGCAGTCTGGGGATTTCCTCCAAGCTTTTCTTTAAGATGCCAGAGTATCAGCTTTGACAACAAGGCTGGGTAGCTTGCTCTAGACTACCACCTGCATCTTGTTCTCATTTTTAAAATGCACTTCCCTGTAGCTTCTGAATAAATCCAATTGTTAGTGTAAAATATTAGATGACAACCCATCAATCCATCCTACTTGATGTTGGTTTTAGTACCGGTTAATATACAGTATGCGTTTATGACATTAAGCAATGCAGGCTCTCTTTACATTCAATTGTTACCACACAAAATTAAAGCTCTCTCTGTAGCAGCAAAAGGACTTTGTATGACTAACATGATCTGATCTGTTTTCAGCTACACAATGAAAAAGTTCAGTTTGAGGCAATAATACTATTCAGAACAATTCATTTTAGCAGAGCGCTAACTGTTTTCCCTCACTTTGAACAAAAGCAATTTTTTATTGCCTTTTTATGAACTGAGTCTCTAACTCGTACATCATGAATATTGGATTCTCAGCAGTTATTTTCAGTCAGTGCTTCTACTCTTAAGAAATACTGAAAGACCAATCTATTTGCCTTACACAACGTGAATACTGTTCAATACTAGGAATACCAGGAATAAAGTGCTTCATTTTTCATTTCAGCTCCATCTTTCTCACTCAGAATCAGTTCACAGAAACTGGCACTCTAAAATGTCTCTCTCAAAGAGATGAATTTGAATGGCCTCCACTGTTTAAAATATATTGATCTTAAAATTGATTTTCAGAAGTTTTGCCAAAAGCTAAAGCTTTCTACCACTGGCTATTTTATTCAAAACGAGTGCTATCATGAACAATCTTCCTTCTTAACTGTACAAAGACATAACTAGATAGCCAATTTCCTGCTTGAAGCCTTCTTACTCAAAAGAACATTATTTTACTCAGAGGTGAGTATTACTCTTAAGCTGCTCTAAATATTATTTGAAATGGCATCAGCAATGCAGTCCAATGAATTGTCTGTAATTATTCTCCTTAAAATACCTGGCACTTTGTATTGGAAAATATATTACATTAATACTGTCATGTGATCCATCTTGTCTTCATCTTAACCCCTTAAGGCTTCTGAATAACAGTAAATAACAGCGTAATTCTCCTTCTGATCTAAAGGGGACAGCTTTAGCCATCAGTATCTGTCTAGATTTAGCCCAGAACTTCTCCATTAATGGACTTCATTAGGAAAACAGTTCATTTAGAGCCCTATAAAAATGCCCCCGTAAATGGTTATAATTCTTACAGCACACATCAGCTCTCTGCTGCTGAAGAATCTAATTAGCACTGAAGTTCAAGACTGGGTGTGCACAGCAATCAGATCTATGGAAGACTGTTAAATGAAGCGCAGATTTAAAAAGAACAAGCATTCTCTTCTGTGGAAAAGTGTAAAGAGTAAAACAAAAATAGGAATTTTCATTCAAAGAAGATTGATAAAAAAGAGGAGATTGTAAAAAAATAACACAATAAAATCCGTTTTAATTGAACTCTTTTTTTTCTTTTATTAGAAAATGTCAAAAAAAAATTTTTGGTTCCACAGTTTGGTGTTAAGATAACTGAATTATGAGGTAACTGTTGAGTTTGTTTTCAGTCAGGAGGTGTTTCATTTATAGAACCCACAAAGAAACAGAAGTTCAAAGATGGTCACTATCATTCTGAATTAATGGCTAAGGTTTACAGATACTGCATTACTTTTTAGCAGCTGCTATTGGAAGTTTCATGCCGTAATGAATTAGTAAATTAGATGAGCATTATCCCCACAAGAAAAATAAGGCCTTGTATCTATATTCAAAGGTAGTGTCTGTAGAATATAGCCTGTTATCAACCTGTGAAGGTCATACACCATATTGTAGGTTACAGGAAAGAAAAGGCAGTGAGTTTTAGAAAGCAAACATGCAGACATTAGTCTCCAAATGAAACCCAATTAGCAAAGATATAGTAAGGAAGCTGCAAGTTTTTATACCAAAAAAGATCTGGGGAGTTTTGGATGCCTCCATCTATTGAGTACGATTCCCTATTTTGCTTGCAATCTCGGGTATACAGTATACTGTAGAGGCTAGGCTGATTTTACATCTCCTTAATAAGATTAAATTAACCATACAGGAAGATGTCTTTTTAAATATTACTTTTTTGGTATTGATTTATTTTCATAACTTAGCCCGGTGAAGTGAATCCATTTTTAACAATAAACCCGACTTACAGGAATTGATCCGTTTTTTAAATCCACATTGACCGATGTACCGTTTTTTGACATTAGTTGATTCTGTTCCCCTCCCTTAAGATTCAATGACAGAATAGGTTGGAAGCCCCTTAATCTTATTTTTAACAAGAAATGCTTCATGACAAAGAAGCACTGATAAAAGGATTTAGGTAGTGACACCACTTCATTTAACCTGTAACCTCTTCGAGAACAGTGCAATGTGACCCACAGCAAGACGTCAAATTAATCATATTTAGCTTTGTTTGTACGGGTACAGCCAAAAGGAATTTCCATTTAGCCGGCTGATGTACAGAGGAATTGAAAAGTCATTCTGAAGGAGATATGTAAGTCATGGGCATTCACATATTTTAAATAAATCATAGTGCTGAAACCTCTTGACAAGCACAGGGGGATTCTTTTCAGATTCATATTTATGCTTAAATAGTTATTATATCCTGTATTCGCCCTTTTATCTGGGAGTGTTTTTAAAGTGATACATAACCTTCAGTAGTTTTATGCTTTACAGGCTATCAAATGTCCAATCAATTTTTATGTTTCTTAATTGAAAGAGATCACCTGTGAGGCCTTTGGATATCAGGGTTTGATTGCCTGAGCTGACACAACCTAGACAAATGGGTGCACTGGGGATGTCTCATAAAAGGCTGCCTGAAATCTAGCCTGAGAGTCACAGAGGACCCAGAGAAAAGAGTTTTATTTCGAAAACTCTTGCTGGACGAAGGCCCTCACAGCTTGAAGGCTCCAGGCAGTAGGATGGAATAGGGGGAAGCTAACCTGCAGTATGATTTCACAGTCCAGGGAAAATGCCAGTGGTCAAGCCTCCAGATAAGTGCCATTTAACATAATCAGGAAGCACAGTCTGAAATCAATCTGCTTTAATGATTAATACACATTGGATTATTTTACCAAATCGCACAGTGATGGAATCTCCTGGACTTTTGCCATCATGAGCAGAGAGAGAATGAAGAAATCCCTTGTTGCAAAAAAACTCCCTTTTCAATTAACTCCCGCAACAGCCCATGGGTTTTCTGTTTACTCCTCTCAGTAAGATAAGATCACTTTATTGGCCATACACAATCTATTGTATTAGGAATTTGTCTTTTCACATACACCAACTTACTCTCCATGAGACACACAGACAGGGAGAGAAGCTTGGGGTCAGAGCGCAGGGCCAGCCATTTATACGTGCCCCTGGAGAAGTTGGGGTTAAGGGCCTTGCTCAGGGGCCCAATGGAGTAGGATTCCTCTGCCAGCCATGGAATACGAACCGACAACCTTCCAGCCACAGGCGCAGATCCTCAGCCACAGAGCCACCACACCGCACAAGTACACTCACCTTGTGAAGTCCTCCTCATCCTCCCTCTTCTGTCTCAGCTGTCTAGGCTGTGCCATGCTGGCCCAGTTGGGGAGGGACTGGAGCAGCCTGCTGATGTCCTCATCCTTGGCCCACGACGCACTGATTGTCAGCTTCTCCTCAGACTGAACTATACCCCTGCTTACAAAACAACAAGCAGGAAACCTTATGTCACTGCAATGGAGAGAGGCAGTACAATTCATTTTTCACAGAAGGCGATCACTAGAATACCATTGTTGTTTTAGAAGCTGTGTAAGAATGTTTTGACTGGTGTGCTTATTGTAGATATTGTCTACTAATGGTGTGAATTACAAGGCATAACACTTCAATTTAACAGATTAGGACTTTGGATAACTGATTAGGACACTACACATTTTATTACATTTTTCTAAACCCATTTTGAAAAAAAGGGAGTTGCCGATGAATCGGCAATGAAGAGTACATTTCAAACCACAATAAAACTACCAAGTACACAATAAGGTGCTCAAGCTCCAAGTTACATCACTAAAGAGGCAAAGTTTCAAAGTATCCATATTGCCACGTCGTTTGTGATTCAGAACGAGGTAACAAAACTTCCACTGATACACAGTGGCTCTAATACATTGTAAACACACTTTTGATCAAGTGAATTTTCCTACTATATTAATAGTAATTATTTTCATGAAAATGACACATACTGTACATGTTTTAAGACATTCTTTCTAAGTATTGTGGAAAAAAAGAGCAAACTGCCAACCAACTAAAATACTCTCATAATAATTGACATTGTTCCGAGACCATGTTTCTCATTCTTTTACAGCAGCTAGTGAGCAGGAAGGGCTGCTTTCATGCCACAAATCACACAAATTCTCACTCTCGTCCGTGGCGAGACCAGCGATTTCTCACCTGTCTGTGACAACATGGCAATCGTAATGTACTTTCACAAAATTCACGATTTTACACTTAATTCCAAATTTGTCAAATTTTGCAATACCGTCAATCAATTTAATTTGTTACTGAGATTTAATAACAGGTCTGAGAAATTAGGACTGCAGTTCCCCTTTAAGTCATTAAAAGCCTCACATCTGCTCACGCCAGTCACTAGATACAGTATGCATGCTTAAAATGTGTGATCTATGCATGACTACTCCCTGTAACACCGCCAGAACAAACTTCATCTCCCGAGACTCACAGACACATGTTCTGCACCAGGAATAAGCTAGAATGATGAGCTAAGTTTTGCTGATTCTAGATTTATTACCACCCTTCATCATAAAAGTGCAATTATATATGTGCATATACTATTAACATCATCACAAAATTCTTTACTTTTTTGGATTGAAACCGTGATTTAACTCTTTCAATTTCCATCATTAGACATCTCAGCATCCATTTTGGACACTCATCTGCCCAAAGCAGTTGGCACTCAGCATTCAGTGTCAGTCAGCTGCAACTGGCAACATTAACTGGCATTGTGGCAACGGGCTTTATTGTACCCCGGCCTGATGTTCATACAGTGAACACACAATTATGAATGAAAAACAAATCTCCTTAAAACTTCACTGATGATGTAATCACGTACTGTAGGTTTTGCAAACTTGAAAACTGGCCACGGAGATGCATGTGAATAGGATTCTGATGCTCGAAATACAACATTAATTTTCTAATTTCCTGTCTGCCAACACACAACAAATATCCTTGTTTGTTCGTTGCACTGTTCACAAAGGGGGCATCTGTGAGGCTATTTGCTGAAGGTCTCCTGGGAAGCTGTACATGGGGAGAACACCTGGTCAGGTGACTGTGCACTGGTATGATAAACCCCCTGGCAACAGAAGAGCAGAGGTTCTCCATCTGCACCACCTGCTTTGGAGTAAACAAATTACTTCTTCCTCTCTGTTTTTTTTTGTGGTTCAGTCCTACGGAACAAATGCTGAACCTTCCAAGAAATGAATACCTGCCCCCCTTTCAAGAAATCATTCGCACTTTTCGGCGCAATGCTTACAAATACAAAAGCAAAATCCAAAACAAATTCACAAAAATATTTATAGGCCTCCTCAATCAATCCTTAATGACACTCGGTGGGAAAAATATTGTTTACCAAGACTATAACAAAAGACGCTAGCTGGTAAATTATTTAACATTCCTAGCTCAAAAGCAAGTATTTAGGGTAATTTCAAAGGCAATTAATTCCTGTGGTTACAATTAACTATAGTATAATTTTCAATTTTGTAAATGCAATGGCAACACTGGAAGCAAGAGGAAAAACTAAGAGCTGTATACTGTATGTACTTGCAGTGCTCTTTGACTACACAAAATGGGTCAATAAGAGCACCGGTATTAAACATATGATCAAGGAAAAAATTGTGTACTTTCAGTACAAAATTTAAACACTGATTATTAGGTTGATGCCTTTATTTCAAGCGACTATCATCTGTACACATGTATACAGCAGGGCTTTTACTGAAGCAATCTAAGTGAAGTCACTTGCTCAAGGGGACAAGATCAGCATCCTAGCTGGGATCTGAACCCAATATCTCCCAGCTGCAAGTGCAGAATCCTGACCACTACTCCATACTGCAGCACTATATAAACTACAGTAAATTTCAGCAATGAGAATTGTGAATTTCTTTCTCTGCAAAAAATAAGGCCCACTGTAATATTTTTTCTCACACTGCCTTAACATTAATTAACAAAGACTAAGAATGAGCATATCAGTCAGGGGGTGTGTATGAGGTGGGAAATGATTATTCTTATGCCCAAAGTGTGCCTAAAGAAATACCATTTTTTTCACAAATCTAAATGAATAGGAAGGCTAAGCATACTGCCGCAAAACATTTACATCTTAATTCTGCCAGGACAAAAGGTACTGTATGCTTACAGGCTCTCCTTATCAACTCAACAAATGTTGATAGTTGATAGTCCAGGAAGTACTCACATTAGTCAGGTTTGCAGTGCTAGGAATGTTTTGCTTCGTCCTAACATTCCTTGTATCCACTCACTTCTTTCCTGATCTGATGGTATAAGGCTAATGCAAGCTTTTGACATGTGCAGGACTGATTATTGTAATGCAGTGCAGTGTGGATTTTCCAAACATTTTTAACAAGCTGCAGCAGGTTCAGAACGCAGCTGCTCAGATGTTAACTAAATTAAACTAAAATGCATGAGCATACTGTATATCGCATGTCTCAGCTTCCTGGCACCTGCTCCCTGTGGATCTATAAAGAAAATCAGAATACTGCAGCTCACCTTTAAGGGCTTGTATGGTTTGGTTCCTGACTACCTGAGTGAACTGTTAACTCCCTACACACCTGCACACTGTTTGTGATCTTCACACTACAATTTCCTTTCAATTCTCAAAACAAGACTCCGACACAGTTTTACTTCTCCGAGGCTGTGGAATGATCTCCCAGGTCTTCTAAGTTGACTGACTCTTTCAAATTCCATCTTATAATACTTTTATACTGCAATTTTCAAATCTGTGAAATGTATATAAACCTAAACCCTTTTGTTCTATTTTAAAGGGCCTTCACATGAAATATCTGTCTAAAATATTACGTAATAAAAAGGGGAAAAATCAGTTTGTCGAGCCTATATGGTAATAAAAACATATAACAGATAATTAAGATATTTAAGGCTTGTGAGGAAAAACAGAGCAAGTGGAGCAGTGTCCGTAAATTCAAGTCATTTATTAAAAAATGGCAATGTGGCATTTTGCATATTACTCTGGCTCAGATGCCGATTTCTACATCTTCTTTAATCAGGTGCAGGTTTACAATGATCATTTCATTTCAAGCAAAGTTAATATTAATCAAAAAAGATCTACTAGACAGCATAACCAGAAGACATTGCTTTACACTCAATTTACACAAGAGTTTGCTCTTCCCTGAATTATGACCACACAGCTCCCAGTATGACACTTAGATACACCCATATTTTGCCCTTAAGGCAAATTTATTAAGGCATGGAGAAATTCTAAAAGCAAATCTTCATCATACATTATATTTGGAGAAGCTGATGTCTAATTTTTGATCAGTTAAATACAGAAGAGTAACTTTAATTAAACATGAGCAAGATTTACCTCAGACTTAGCAAAAGACAATATTTGCATAAGGATGTTAAACTGGCTTTTTTTTATTTCTCGCTTGATCGTTAGTATACAAGTGTAGCCAAATGGAACATTTGCCACAAAAGGAGTCCCTCAAATTAATCTTAAGGCGCAGCTAAGCAAAAGGGTGAAATGAGTGGCGCTGGTTCAAAGAAGACACAGCGCGAGTTCAGATAATGGGAGGTGATGTGGCAGCCATTGTAAGTGGAAAATGGACAGTCCAGAGACTGGCAAAAAAAAGTATCAAGCCAGCGAGGCATTAAAATGAGCCAAAGCATCCATCACAAACCACTATCTTCTGATATTTTATACATTTTTTGTTAGTGGACAGTAAATGTCTCCTGCTACTACTGTCCATAACCTTATGTGGGATTACAGAACTATAACAAAACTCAAGTAAATCTAAGTATCTCGAAATATCTTGCACTGACTTCGAAGTTCCATCCATCCCTTTTCTAACCACTTTATCCAATACAGGGTCACAGAGGAGCCCGAGACTATCCCAGAGAAATTGAGAAATTTCTTGCAGTAAGAACACATAATGGTGTCTTATGCTTATCTACAGCGAGATCAAAAGTATAAGAAAATTCTCTTTTTATTTTTTAGAATTCAAAATATCTTAAAAGCCTGATGAAACTAGTATAATATGCTTTGGGATATCATTTCTGATGACAGCCAAGCAACTGCAGTTCAGTAATATTACCTGTATGCAGTGTTGCAGATCTCCTTGTACTCCTTCAGCTTGTCACACACCATCTCGAGAAACTGGTTGGAGTAAGCACTCAAGTCATGCATCAGATTCATTAAATCCTGGATAGATTTCTCCACTACCACTGTGCTCTGCAAAAAAAGGAAGAACAAAGAAAAACACATGACATGGAATTAAAAAAAGAACTGTTGAAATCAAAACACATCACAAATAAGCAAGGAGTTCCAGTCCTACAGGTTAATTGCAGGTGGAAGGTACATTTCGAGACACTGAAGTAGTAGATGGATAAATGTAATATCTGTCTTCTTCAAACAATAAGGAACTGATTTGTATTGCATACCGAGGGTCAGCTAAAATCAGAACTCTGGGATTAAAAACATCCATGTCTGTTTTTGTAAGGAAAATATACACTACAGTAGTAATTAAAAAAGCAGCGGGTATCTCAACCAGAGAGGTTATTCCATGCAGAAAAAAGAAAGGTATCATGTGTATCATGTGGACCAGTCTTAAATAATCCACAAAACAATGAGAGAATCTAACCTACGTGCCCTAAACCTTCAACCAGTACACTTAGAGAAGCACTTCTCAGCAAATTACAGTTGTGAGAAAAAGTTTGTGAACTTAATTTATCTGGTTTTCTGCATAAATGGCTCCTAAAATGTGATCTGATCTTCATCTAAGTCATAATAATAAATATAGTCCCATTTAACAAACAACACACACAACATTTTACATTGTCATATCGATATTGAACAAATGGTTTAAACAATCAAGGTAATTGATGGAAAACGTATGTGAACCTCTAGGATATTGACATTTTGAAAAGAGGGTAATTGGAGTCACGTACTCCAATCAATGAGTCAGGTGTTCCAATCAATTCAGGTGTGGGTTTGATCTGCCCTGCCATATAAAAAAAATCACACTATTTTGGTTACCTGCTCTTCACAACAGAATTCTGTTGAAGTGCAACATGGCCCGATCAAAAGAGATTTCAGGGGACCTCAGAAGAAGAGCTGTTAAAGCTCATAAGACTGGAAAGGGTTAAAAAAGGATTTCTAAAGACTTGGGCCTCCATCAGTCCACAGTCAGGCAGATAGTTTACAAATGGAAGAAATTCAGCACTGTTGCTACTCTCCCTAAGAGTGTGCGTCCTACAAAGATCAGTGCAAGGGCAATCCATACAATCCTCATCACAGGTGACAAAGAACCCTAGGGTGACAGCTAAGGATCTGCAGGCAGGCATCTCTTGCACTTGATAACGTCTGTGTTCATGAGTCTACCCTAAGAAAAAAACTGAACAAGACTGGTGTTCTTGGGAGGTTACCACAGATGAAACCACTGCTCTCCACAAAGACTTTGCTGCCCATCTCAAGTTTGCTAAAGACAACTTGGATGTTCCACAGCACTACTGGAACAATGTTCTATGGACAGATTAAACAAAAGTTGAACTTTTTGGTTAATGTACACTGCGTTATGTTTGGAGAAAACAAAACACTGCATACTAACACCAAAACCTCATCCCATGGTGGAGGGAATATAATGGTGTGGGGCTGCTTTGCCGCCTCAGGGCCTGGACGGCTTGCAATCCTTGAGGGACCAATGAATTCCAAGTTGTATCAGAAAATTCTACAGCAGAATGTCAGGGTGTCCGTCTCTGATCTAAAACTCAAAAGAAGTTGGGTCATGCAACATGACAATGATCTAAAACAGTGGTTCTCAAACTTTTTGGACCAAGTACCACCCCTAATCCAACCAAAGCATCCAAGTACCACCTACAAGTCATCATCTCATAGGAACCCATCATCTCATAGGAACCCCAGAATGACCAACATGAGCGCACGTGCACACACACTCACACATACATATAATAAATATTATAATAATACACTTTTTTTGATATAATGCCTTTAAAGGTGGCTTCTCAAAGTGTTTTACAGAAAAAAAACATTAACAACAACTCATAAAAAAGCACCATTTCAGTGAGAGGGGTGAGCCTGTTTAGTTGAGCAAAGCAGATGTGAATTAATTTTTCGAGCCTTGATACAATTCACAACAGAGTCTAACAGATATTAAATCGTCAGGCATTTTCTTGACGGCAAAGGTCTCGCGGTGGATGTTGTAATGCGTACATTAATTTCTGGAGCAACCTCTCTAATTCGTGCAACTACACCGCTGTGTCGGCTTGTCATTGCTCTAGCACCGTCTGTACAAACTCCGACGCATTTTATCCAGTCGAGGCCATTTTCTTCGATAAATTCATTCAGAAGCTGAAATATGTGCTCTCCTGTAGTTCCTGTTGGTAGAGGTTTACAGAACAGAAAGTCTTCATGGGACATGCCCTCAAACTCGTATCTAACGTAAACGAGCAAATTGGCCAAATCGACTACAGACTCATCTAATTGCAGTGAAAAACATCTGCTCATCTTAACGCGCTCTATCAGTGTACTTTTGATATAATCCTTCATTTCAATAATTCTATGAATGACTGTGTCTTTCAGGGGGAGGGGGGCAGCAGGTCGAGCTGTTTAGCAGCTTTTTCTCTACACATAATACGTGTCAGCTCTTTTGCCAACGGTAAATAAGGTTCTTCAAAAATAGTGTAGCTTACCTGCTTTAGCAATACGCAAGCTTGCATTTTTCCGCATTTCCGTTTTTTTTTCTGCGCATGGGAGCGAAACACAGAAACGCTCGGTGTATTTTTCTCAAATTAGAACAGTTCTTAAATATTTTTCTGTTATCACACTTTCGTGTCCTCACAAGATTACCTGCATTCGTAGCACGTATTTCTATGCATTCCTGTGTTTAGAACGTTGGCATAGTTCCAAAATCATGCACATTCTCCTTTCTCCCTATTTGCTGGAGATACAGTAGCTTTTTTTAAATACAACTGGTCACTTGCATCCGTAGCACGCATTCCTATAGAGTGGTATAGAATTACAGAGTATCTCTTGTGTCCACTGAACTATTAGCGCGCACTGTATCGTAGTACGTAGGCTGCGTTTTCGACACGTATTAAAATACAAAATATGAAACCCCGTCCCGATTTTTCAGCGCACACGACACAGTTCCAGGGTCATTTGGCGTACCACTTGGCGGCAATCCACGTACCACTGCCGGTACGCGTACCACAGTTTGAGAACCACTGATATAAAACACGGGAGTAAATCAACAACAGAGTGGCTCAAACAGAAGAAATTACATATCTTAGCCAAGTCAGAGTCCTGACCTCAATCCTATTGAAATGCTGTGGCGTGATCTAAAGCAGGCCATTCAACCAAGACATCCAAAAAACATACATGAACTGAAACAGTTTTGTATAGAGGAATGGGCCAAAATACCTCCTATCCGCTGTGCAGGTCTGATCAGCAGCTAAAGAAAGCGTTTGGTTGAGGGGTTCCACTAGTTATTAAATATGGCAATATAGGGGTTCCACTAGTTATTAAATATAAGGGTTCACATACTTTTTCCCCATCAATGACCTTGATTGTTTAAACCATTTGTTCGATAAAGATACGGCAGTGTAAAATGTTGTGTATGTTGTTTGTTAAATAAGACTGCTTTATTACTATGACTTAGATGAAGATCAGATCACATTTTAGGAGAAATTCATGCAGGATAATTCCTAACAGCTCACAAATGTTTTCTCACAGCAGTATATGTGAAACTAAGCTTCCATTTTTTGCTTCCAATGGTGTATTCACATTACATCTTTCTTATGGCAAACAATAAAAGCAAAACATCCTTTTTTAAGGAAGTATGAACCAAAAGGCTGAGCAATTTTGCATTCCCTTCTGGAATTAAAAGAAAAATTGCTGCAAGGAAAAAAAGTGAGAATGCATTAACAACAAACGCTGTTAAAGTTATGTTATTGAGACTAAACCATTTCCATGTGGGATTAGGAAATTGAGTGTAACCCCGTAATGATGACAAATCAAGATCTAGGTTGGCTTGGAACACCTTCTGTGAACAATATATCTTCTCACAACCCACTGTGTCATGTGCAATACTTGCATGAGAAAATAGCTTTTCAGATGATAGCCTTTATATTTTTTATTACTCAACAGAGATGCTGATGTCTGTTATTGAGCTGCTCAGACATGATCCGCCTACATTCAATTTTAAGTCTACTTATCACTGGGTTCTTAACATCTATCACCAGTATAGAAGACATGCTACAATGGGTGACCCATAGTTTTAACTCTAAATCAGAGCTCTGTTCCCTTATCACTGAAACTAATTAAAATGATATTTTGAAAAGAATATGCTATATTTAGGTGGGATGAAACATTCCCTGAGGATATGCTGCCCCTAATGCAAACAATTTCTTTACTTATTTCTATATAGGCTGCATAAAGACAGTAATTCAGCTGATACTTTCACATTTCAAAACAAAAGATGAAAATAATGTCTCATTGATGATTGGTGGAAAATAAGTCAGTGAAGCAACTTAACTTCATGTAGTGCTTAAATCTTATTACAAATTCAAATGGAACCTGAATGCTACATTAACACTAATGGGGTTTCCACCAAACGTCTTCAAAAGGAGTTAAGAGACGTATTTTTCAGGAGCTTTTTTTCCCTGTATGTTTGCTTGCAAATAATGATCTAAATGGAAGCAAACAGTCCCGATATCAGAAATAGGATATACAGTATATCAAAAAGACATGCCATACTATGAAAATGCAAACTGTAAGGACATTTGAGTGATAAAAGTTCAGTCCAAAACATTTAAAAGGAAATCACAAAAAATGAATGTGCTACATGAATATCAGTCTTAAAAATACAAAAAAGGACCCCACCATAAAGAAAGGCACAAAGTGAAAGGCAGAAATAAGACTTTTCACAGAATTGTTAATTCTGTCAACTGAACTTGATTGTTTCTTTCTACCTCATCAGACAAGCAAGAAATATGATTGTTAGGAGGATATATGAATATGAAAGGGATTTTTATTTACATCCGTAAGGCAGTTCTCTGTCCTAGCCAAGAGCCGTTAAATCCTTAGTGAAAACAGCCTTTGAAACATCACTCATTCTGGCTTGCCGCAATGACAGGGTGTATTCAGCAGAGGGCTCCAATGACCCATGATGGGGCGCCATTCATTAGAGAGAAGTCGCAAATATATAAATCAGC